TTGCACATAAATGTAAGTCACAAGGACAGCAATCACGTTGGACTGGCCACTCTCCGTAAGGCCATCCCTCCACCTTGGCACTCTTCTATTCTCAGTGTGTGGCTCTGTGTCTTCTGCACATGGCCTCAAGGTCACAAGACGGCTGCTGCACCTCCAGCCCTCATTCCAGGCAGGGAAAGGAGGCAAAGCCCTTTCTCTTAGCAAGGCTTTGAGTTTTTATTTGGGAAGAAATGCCCTCCCTCATCTTATTGGCCAGGACGTATAAGAAGAAGCCACACACAACTGCAAGAAAGGCTGGGAAAATGAGTGACCTCAGTGGAGTGCATTGGTATCCTGAACAAAATCAGAGTTCAGTGAGGAATGAAGAGAGATTGAGGATTGGGTGTGCACCTAGAAGCATCTACTCCAGGGCAAAGACAGAGGAAGAGTCCAGGCCATGGCCCACATTTGACAAACCCAGCATAGAGGCACTTACAGTTCAGGGTGCCCATGGGCAGGGGGAAGATGGACAGCTGAAGCCATAGATTCGGGTCATTAGCTCTTAATGGAGATGACTTTCCAGAAGCTTCCTAGCCCATTCTGTGACTCTGCTCAACCGAAACTATGTGCCCTCTAGACCTACCGAAATAAGACTGGGGTGATATAGCAGGCTTCCAGAAGAAAGAAGCTGCACCTCAGCTCTGGGATGTTTTCTGTATCAGACTTCATGCACCACAAGCTTAGCATGTCCTTTGAGGAAGAGCTCTGCCTCCTTCCTGGTCACCCCGGGTAGTTTACACAGGCAGGGAACGTCAGGGACCTGGGATAAATGCTTGGGGTTGACTGACAGGGGACAGGGCCAGGGGGTGCAGACCTTCCTGGTCTCTGCCCACCCTGAGATTCAAAGCTTTTCATTTAGTAAGACTCAGTGTCCACCTGTGCCACTATGTGTTGATGTTGGCTGTTTGGGAGAAGGGGAGTGAATGTCCCATCTCCCCTTCTCCCGCAGCAGCCTGGATCCTCATCTGTAATCAGGGGCTGTCAAGAAGGCAGCTTCCACGCTCACTGCTAATTATCCTTTTTAATTATCCTGAGAAGGGCCTTTCCTCAGTGATTTGCTCTTCTGCATAATCAGAGTCAGGGCCTGGAATATCGTTGGCAGCAACCTGCCTGTGTCCCCTCCCATAGAGCCCCAGGAACCTAGTGCAGGCTGGGCCAGGCCATGGTCTTGACCGTCTTCCCCTTCCTCTCACCCAGTCGACCTCAGACAGCTTCTTGAGGAGAGGCTCTTCCTAAGGGAAGGCAGTGGGCAGCTCCTCAGCAGGGCGCTCTGCAAAACCTCTTCCTCCTCCCTCCTGTCAATGGCCGTGGTCACCCAGCTGCCCCTGGCCCTCTGCCCTCCTGATCTACAAGCTCTCCAGGGCCCTCATCTCTTCCCTGACCCCAGCCTCTCTCCTGAGCTCCAGGCTCCTCAGCCAGAGCGTGGAGCCCGCACGGGCCTCTCCAACTCAGCCAACCTCCTGCCCCATGCCTGCCTCTTCCACCCGCTGCTCTCTGTCTGCCACATGCCAGCCCCTCAGGAACTCCGCTACCCTAAAGCGCAGCTGGGACACTTCCTCCCTCGAGGAGCCAGGGTGGCAGCTCCTCCTTTTTGTCTCCAGAACCTTGGACGTGCCACCGAGACAGCTGTCTGATTTCTCCCAGACTGTGAGCACATAAGGGGTGGGAACTACGTTTTAAACTTTTTCTGTAACTCAGTGTCCATGAGGGAGATGGTACGTGAATGAATGAATGAGTGAATAAGTGAGTGAAAGTTCAAGAAACTGCACGTACACAGACGCAGGCACCTCCGCAGCCACGTAAGTCTCCAGACAGCTGAGGAAGGTCACATACTGTCTATACTGTCTCCACTCATGGGACAGGTTCTAAGACAGGGAGGCAGGCAGGCATCAGGTGGCATTGCTCCTAGAACATGGAGAAATGAACTCTTGAGGCCAGCCCATACACTGGATGGAATGAATAAAGCAAGGGTCTCCCAAATGTCACACTCACACTGTCTCACACACACGCACACACACACACACACTGACATACACAGCTATATGTAGTTTCCATCCAGGCAAGTTCCCTGGTCTCATAGCCTTTTCTGGAAGCCACTGTGGAGTGGACATTCTTGGGTCTGAGCTCCTAGAATCCATCTCCCCTTCTCTTTGAAAGCCATACCCCAGTTTTTATTCAGGTGTCCACCCCTCCCTCACCCAGCTGGGCCCACCTCCAGCACCAGGCCATTTGTCTTGGGTCAATCGGCAGATCCCACCCCCAGCCACAGCAACTGGTTCAGGACTGGAAACCTGACCCAATTCAGGACAAGGCCAGAAAGGAGATTTTCTGGGGGGGATTGTTAGAAGGAAGTGTGCAGACATCGAACCTGGCACTGCTGGGGACCCAGCCGGAAGATGAAGCTGGCACCCAGAGGACAGGGGCCAAGGATGGGGACCCCCTTGCAGAGGGCCCAAGCTGCAGCCTGAATGCCCACCCACCCAGGCACCGAGGATGCCCAGTCAAGGTGGCTGAAAGAGCAGACCCAATGTCTGGCCACCCCTTACCATATCCCTGCTGGGAGCCTGGCGTTTGGGGATGGGCGAGGCCAGGGGTGTGGATATTTAAATTCCCAGAGGCAGGGCCAAGGGTCTCCAGACCAGTGGAACTGAGACAAGCAACACCAGCCTGGTTACCAAACCCAAACAAGGGCAAGGAGCAAGAGGCCAGGCCAGCAGGCTAGACAGTGTCCAAGCCACTGTAGAAGGCCCCGGAAGCTGGCAGGAGGGCAGGGGTGCCAGAGGAGCTCCCTGAGCTGGACTGGAGACTTCCAAGACACTGTGGCAGCTGTTGGTGCAGAGTCTGGCCTTGGGCAGGGGGCAGGAAGGGCCGTTAGCACTGACAAGGTATGCGTTGTGATTTGAGATGACAAGTCCCACAACCTAAAATTCTGTTTCCTGACAGCAAATTGGTTCACACATACAGAGAATAAGTAAATAAATTTTCTAAAGATTTTCATGAGGCCCATACCCTCCAGGAAGACATACCTCTACCCGGGGCCCAGCCCCCCTCGGGCACCTGAGGTGTTGCAGCCCCCACCACACCACCGCATGCAAGTGACCAGCCTTCCTAGGCCTGGCTCTGTCCAGGCCCGGCTCCACAACGCCACTGTCTTGCCCATGCACTCTGGCTCCTGGGGGCTGGTGGGGAGCCACAGAAGGAGGGCTGATTGGACTGGGCCTCTTCCTGAGCCCTAGCCCAGCACTCCCAGGGTGTGGGGTCTGTGAAAGCCACCAGCTTGTGTGGGTCCCAGAACCCACAGCCCTGGCCTATATGTTATGTGAGCTGGAATCCCTGCTCAGGGACTGGGCCTCCTTGACCAGGGCTTGCCAAATCTTCCAGAACATTGCATGTCCAGTCACCAGGAGTGGAAGCCAGCCCACACCTGTCCCAAGCCCCCACCACTCACCTCTTGCCCATTTCCTCTGTTCCACCCTGGCCTCGGCCCTGTTCTCCGCCCTTCAGCTCACTGACCTGGCTGTTCGCTGCCTGGCTCTGAAGTCCCCTCAGACTGACACAAACCTGGCAAGGTCACAGCTCCCAGATATACTGCCCAGCACAGGCTTTGGGCGGCTGCCCCTCCCTGGTGGGATGGGGACCTCCCCTTGGCTCCCTAGGTCTGGGAGCTGTCTCTGCAGCAGCCAGAGCTCCAGCCCTGGTCCTGGCCCTGCTCCCTCTCTGCGGGGCCCAACTGTGAGGTACAGAGCAGGGCTTTTCCTGTCAAATTACCCCAGCTGCGAGCGTCAGAAACTCCTTGAGGGTCAGGGAGTAAAGCTCAAAGCCACCATCTGACGTATCATGATGAAACCCAATGCATTCTCCTGCATAATGTGTTTTAAATGAAAATGTTTCAAACGTTCACACTGAAATAAAAGGGAGACTCCTCATGTTGACACCATGGCTGCACATTCCTCCACCACCACAACACAGGGCACACACAGGCTCAGAAGCACAGTGGGGGTCTGGGCTCCTTGCCCCCAAACCCAGCTCCACCAGTGAGCTGTGTGGCCTTGAGCAAAGGAATGAAACTGTTACTGTGGAAGGAAAGAAGGAGTAAGGCAGGGAGGAAAAGCTAAAGCTTTTGAAGCAGCTCCCTGCAGCTGCCGCAGTGACTATTGCTCATGGATGCTGCAGTTGGCACAGCCAACACTGCCACCCACAGGACAAGGCAGGGCCACAGCAACTACAGTCCTGCCACCTAAAGCAAAGCCCAGTTTTACTGGAAAATACAGCTCCAATTCTGACATTCACCTGCTTTTATTGGTAGTACAGATTTATGTAGATATAAATTCCTCCTACCAGGAAGTCCAGGCTGGTCCCTGGGCCCCTGAGCACAGCTCCCACGGCTCCTGGGAAGCCACTGCTCTACTGCTCTGTGTCATGGGCAGCTCGGACCAGCCCAGGTCTGCTGATGGAGATATGGAGCCCAGGGTTATATGCATGGGAGCAACGAAAAGAGGGAGAAGCTGGGCCAGCAAGCTCACCCCCAACCCAGGAGCTTCAAGCTCCCAGACTCAGGCATTCCCATGCACAACCTCTCATCCCAGTTCTACCCTCCCTGGTGGGTAACCGAACCTCCTTGGGCCTCAGTTTCTCATCTGTGGAGTCCTGGTACCTGACCCCCAAGTTCCACATGTATATTAAGGTCTCTTAGGGCAGCACCGAGCGGACTTCTTGGCCCAGAGCTGGCTCTCCAAGCCCTGTCACCCAGTCCGCATCACCCGAGCTCTGACCACCAGGAAAAATACCAGACCCCAGAATGGGGTCGGGCCAAGATGAAGTGGTGGCCACGCAGCTGGCCCACCCACCAGCACCTGCCTGGGACAGAGGGCCTGCAGGGACAACTGTCTCAGTGGAAAAGCCACAGATAGCCACGGTTCCATTCACACTGGCAGACAAGAGGGAGAAAAAATAAGCAGGTGTTTTCTGAGTGTTTTTGTCAGTTTTTTGTTTAATTTTGTTTTGAACACTAAGATTTATTTTCAAACAGCACACAGACGGTCTGCAGGGCGGGGCCAGGCTGGGCTGCTGTCTGGGCCCCACCCACAGCAGCTGCCAAGAAGAGGACCGCTGCCCCGGTGGCACGGCCCAAGCTTCAGGCAAGTGGCCTGGCTCAATGGCCCCACCCCGCCCTATGGCCGGGCACACATGCGGCGCAGGAGGGCGCCGGGAACTCAACTGGGGGTCACAGCAGCTTCAGGAACACTGGCAGATTCCACCGGGCTTGCTGGGCCGGGCTCTTGAAAACAACCTAATCTTTGGGAGAACACCTCTCAGATAAGGTCTCTCCTCTTGATTTCCCTTTGCTTTCCAAAAGTTTAAAAGCAAAAACGGAAAAGAAAAAAAAAAAAAAAAAAACGAGAGAGAAACACACATTTTCCGGGAAAAGGCGTTCTTCACACACCCAGGGGGCTGTTCGGTGCCACCGTCACTGCACCCGAAAAAAAAAAAAAAAAAAAAAAAAAACGAGAGAGAAACACACATTTTCCGGGAAAAGGCGTTCTTCACACACCCAGGGGGCTGTTCGGTGCCACCGTCACTGCACCCGCTCGGTGAAGTTCTCAGGGAAGACTCCCCGGCATTTCTCCAGCTCCTTGTGCTGGTTCCAGTCGCTCTCCTTCACGCCCATGAGCCAGCCTTCATCCTGCGGGGAGCCGAGCACGCAGGTCACGGAGGGATGGGAGGGAGGGCACAGAACCCGACAGGGCTGCGTCTCACTTGGGATCTGCAGGGAAGATGGTCTCTCCTGCTGTCTTTCCTCTTACCCTGCCACGTGCACCGTAACACCTCCTCCAGGCAGCATTCCCTGATTCTTGCTGAGACCCACACTCACCAGCCTGCCCTTAGCAGGTGGATTTAGCCCTTTGCAGCTGATGTTGACAAGTCCTCTCCACTCCAGAAAGGCAGCCTAATTGCTGCACTAGTCTGAACGTATCTAAACAACTCTGTCAATCCCAGGCCAAGGAGCTTCCCACCATCTGGTGCCGACAGAGAACACGTCCCCTTGAGGAGGACATCAGCTGTCTGTCCAGGCTTCCAGACTTCCCGACTTCTACAAACAATACCAGAAAGTTCTGGTTGCAATGGCCAATTAAAAGCTTCTAGTGGGACCCAAGCTGCCCCACCAATCCCTCTAACTCCAACCTGCCCTTTGCTTCCACACTTACTCCTTACTGGGCTCTTCTCCCCAGACCCTGACCCTGGGACTGCAGTGGTCTTGCACCCTGGCCCAGCTGGTCCATCACTGCCCCTACAGCTGGGCTATGCTGGGACCTAACTAGTGTTTCATTATTTCCCTCTGTGTCATTATCCACCTTGTCACAGACCTTACTTACGTCCCATCTGGGCCCCCTCCAGCCACTGTGGGCAGGGGGCCAGGATTCTGCTTCCTGAGATCCCACCCAGCCAGGGCTGGCCACTGGGGAGACCAGTGGAGAGCTGGGAGCACAGGAGAATCAGCCGACTCAGCCTAGGCCCGGGAAACCCTTGTTACTCAGGCCTCCCACCCCTCGTAGCCTCAGTAAGTACCCAGGGCCCTCAAGTCCCAGTCCAGGACCCCCAGCTGGACCCACCCCCACCCTCAGCCACCCTGACCAATCATTCATACAGATGCATTGATGACTAAATGCATTTTCTGAAAGCAGGAAGAGGCTGACCAGGAACCTTGTGCATAGCGAGCAGGTGTCAATTACTGAACTGCAGATGAAACCTGGATGTCCACATGGGCACCACCAACCCTCCACAAGCAAAGGCTCACGCTACACCAACAGTGGGTTCCTGCTGAGGGTCAAGGCCACCTGAACAGAGCAGCTGGCCCAAACCCAGGAAAGACACACTTAGCACCAATCCAAGCCCAGCAGGAGCCCTCACTTTGAGGAGAGTAACCAACATGGAGAAGCCATAGCAGGAAGAGAAGGGTCCGGAGGGCATCTGGGGTGAGACTCAGCTGGGACAGGGCTGGGGATCACCCGGCTGGGAAGCCTGTGGTCCTGCAGACAGGGTCAAGGGCAGCCTGGAGGGGCAGCACGTGGGGCCAACACGAGCCCAACGAGAGGCCAGTGCTGGGGCCGTGGCTCTGTCCGGCTGCAGAGCGGCCACTTGTGGGCAGTGACCTGGGCAGGAGGGTTCAAGGATCCTGTCCTGGGTGGAAAGCTGGCCTCTGAGGGAGGGGCAGGGAAGGAAGGGACAAGGGAAAAGAAACTTGAATGAGAAAGCTGAGAGAGGGACAGAGCCCAAAGAAAGAAGTGGGAAGATGAGCAGAGGACACTGAGAAATTGAAGGAGAGAGGAAGACAGGGACAGAGAGAGAGGGGACCCAGAAGAGAGCAGAGAGAAAGGGGAGGGGTTATGGGAGGAGGAAGCTAAGATGAGAGAAAAGGCAGGGAATGGCGAGGAGGGGAGAAGCCCCGGCGGCGCCTGAGCCTGCGGGTCCAGACACACTTAGCACCAATCCAAGCCCAGCAGGAGCCCTCACTTTGAGGAGAGTAACCAACATGGAGAAGCCATAGCAGGAAGAGAAGGGTCCGGAGGGCATCTGGGGTGAGACTCAGCTGGGACAGGGCTGGGGATCACCCGGCTGGGAAGCCTGTGGTCCTGCAGACAGGGTCAAGGGCAGCCTGGAGGGGCAGCACGTGGGGCCAACACGAGCCCAACGAGAGGCCAGTGCTGGGGCCGTGGCTCTGTCCGGCTGCAGAGCGGCCACTTGTGGGCAGTGACCTGGGCAGGAGGGTTCAAGGATCCTGTCCTGGGTGGAAAGCTGGCCTCTGAGGGAGGGGCAGGGAAGGAAGGGACAAGGGAAAAGAAACTTGAATGAGAAAGCTGAGAGAGGGACAGAGCCCAAAGAAAGAAGTGGGAAGATGAGCAGAGGACACTGAGAAATTGAAGGAGAGAGGAAGACAGGGACAGAGAGAGAGGGGACCCAGAAGAGAGCAGAGAGAAAGGGGAGGGGTTATGGGAGGAGGAAGCTAAGATGAGAAAAAAGGCAGGGAATGGCGAGGAGGGGAGAAGCCCCGACGGCGCCTGAGCCTGCGGGTCCCTGCGACAGTGGGCCTCTGCTGCCTCCTGCTGGTCCGTCCCCGCCACAGCCGGCCCAGCAGCAACTCAGGGAGTTCAGGAGGCCCCTCCTGGGGCTCACCTGCTCTTCTGGGTTCTGGAAGGGGATCACCAACACCACGTCGCCAGCCTTGAGCTGCAGCTCGTCTGTGTCAGTGGCTGTGTAGTCGTGCTGGGCCTGCACCTGCAGAGGTGGGGGGAGAGCGTGTCACAGGCCCTATGGTCCCAACTCCACACCCACACTATGCACTAGGCCTGCAACGTGCTGACTTGGAGACCAGCAGGACTAGGATCAGATGCCACCGCGCCAACTGGGAGGGGGATCGTGGGGATAGTTTGACTTTGGGCAAACCACAGAGCCTCTTGAGGCTCACTGTCCTCATCTGTAAAAGGGGGAGATCCCGCCCCTCAGGGCACCATGGGACAGTAGCAGTCAGAGACTCGCAGGGTCAGCTAGCTGGGGCTCACCTTGAACATGAACCCTGGGGGCAGGTCCAAGCGCCCAGGCCCGCTGCCGCCCTCCACAGTACCATTCACCGTTGCTGGAAAGGTCTCCACCACAACAGCAGGAAGAGAGCTCTGGGGGCAGGGAGCACAGTCAGCCAGGCACAGAGGTGGTCCAGAGAGGGCAAGGGCAACAGGGTAGGGAAGGGCAGGTGTCTGCGCCTGGTGTCAGACCAGCTGCCCCCAAGGCTCCTTGACAGGAACCATGGCCTGCACCAGCCCCACGGTAAGGAGTGCAGGGGAGTGGCAGGCAGGCAGACAGACAGCCAGACAGGCAGGCAGGCAGACAGACAGCCAGACAGACAGCAGGGAAGAAAAGACAGGACTTGGACCCTGCCATCTTACGGAGGCTGCTTCACTTGCTGCTGTCTCCCCAGGCTCCTGGGCACCAGCCGCAGGTTGGGTCCCACCCGCCACCTCCGAGGCCTCTGCTGGCTGCAACACAAATCCCGGCATGGGGTCAGACACAGGACAGGACACTGCAACCAGGACAGGAAACAGCTGCAGGAGAGCAGCACTGAGTGGGAAGGCTGGGGCACTGGCCTGGCTGGCCTTGGGTTCAAGAGTTGGCCAGTGCCTCGCACAATCCAAGAAGCCCCTGTAGGACAGGCAGGGTCCCGGGCAAAGTAAGCAGCTGTAGAGAAGTTGCTAGCAATACAAGAATGCTGAGTGATGTGTGCTGAGAAGCCCTGTACAGGCCTCTGGGGTGTCCTCCCCAGCCTTGCCTCACAGGCCCTGCCCTCTAAGCCCCAAGACTTGCCAAGCCCCAGCCTCCTGCTTACAGGTTGGCGGGTCTGTGGAGCTGGCAGACAGCATGCCCAGGGACGGCCACACACACCTGTCCAAGCCCAACACAACTCAGGGCAGCCCTGGCTCAGCCCTGGCCAGCCTGAGAAGGGTGTGGCACAGTGAGGGGCACCACAGCCTGGCCCCAGCACGGGCCCGCAGTTGAGCTGACCTGGGCCAACACTCAGACTCGGCCACTTCTGAGTGCTCGAACCAAGTTACCCAACCTTCCTAGTCCTCCATTTCCTTATTTGTGAAAGGAGAAGTGTCTGGCTGACAAGGTTACAGTGAAGATTAAATGAGAAAATTCTAGGAAGTGCCCCGCACAAACCGGCAGGTGCTCTACATGCTCCCCCCTCCCTGCTCCAGAAGGCCTCAGCTGGAAGGCTGGGCTGATGTGACTCCAGCCACACTTACCCACCCCCAGCACCCCTAGAGATAAGTCCATCCTGGGGCCTCCTGGCTCAGGCCCCATCCTCACCCCCAGGCCCATGGCAGCCTGGTCCATCCTGCGCCCCCTGCTCTGGGCTCTTCTTCCATGCTATACCCCGAGATGGGAGACAAGCCAGATGGGGGCAGGCGGGCAGACACTTACTTGGGCAGGCCCTGGCTCAGCCGTCTGGCTAGGCCAGGCCACAGCAAAGGTGCCCTCGGCAGCGCTGGGCTCCCCAGAAGGCAGGCTGCCAGCTGGACTCTCTGTGGGCTAGTGACAAGCCACCAGGAGAGAACAGGGAGGGAGGCAGAGCGGGGAGGCCGGGGTAGAAAAGGTGTTGGGCAGGGGCAGGAACAAGGGAAGACGTTGTGAGCAGCCAGTGTTGGCGGGCAGTGTGCGGGCCCAGCAGGTCACCACCTCCCACCTTCTCACTCCCGCCACCACCAGGGAGACAGCCAAGTGAGACTGTGCCATGTACAGCTGAGCACCCACCAAAATCCACTCGTCAAAATGGCCTGGCCAGCTTGCACCAGGCTGCTTTCTCTGGCCTCCTCCAGAGTGAAATGCTACCATGGAGCTTCCGGGTGTGTCCCCAGGGCACCAGCACACCACACGGTCCTGCCCCTGCCCCTGCTCCTCCAGCACCATAGCCTGTGCCAGGGAGTCTCAGGGACTGAGCCCAGGAAACCCAGGTGGAATTCCAGCTCCACCACAACCAGTTGTTGGGCGAGTCCCAAGGTGTCCCAAGCCCTCTCTGAGCCTCCAGAGGATGGTGACACTTGTCCTGCCTGAGCCTTGTGCCATGCTCTCAGAAGGCACCCACCTCACCCTGCCTTCCCTGCCTCTCAAATTCCCCCTCTCTCCCTTCCCCCTTCCCCCAACAGCTCCCAGATGAGGGCGAGAACCCTGGACCCAGAGGCCCTCCTGCCTTGCAACTTCAGCCCACCATGAGGACAAAGGTCCATTCTGAGTGGCCGGTGGACTACTATCTAGAGCACTCCCGGACCCTGACAAGTGGCCACTTCTCGGAGGACCTCATCTCAAGCTAAACCAAGAAACTCCTTTCCCACATCCTGACATGGAGAGAAGCTATAGAACAGGAAAGAGCAGCCTCGGCCAGCTTCCTGTGCATGTGAGCATGCACCCCTGTGTGCTGCATGTGTGTGTGCCATGTGCGTGCACCTGTGACCGGGCCAGGTGGAGGAGGATGCAAGTGGCCTGGGCACACACAGAAGAGGAGCTCCCCCAGGGGCCCGGCAGAGCCAACACTCAGCTTACCTCCCACAGGTCCCACGGAATTGGCTGAGCGCAGCAGTGAGGGGGAGAAGGACAGAGTTAGCAAAGAGGTTAGAGACAGGTGGCAGGCAAGCAGTCCCTGGGACCCCCACCCCACACCCAGCCCAGCAGGCACGGGGGCAGCACGGAGCTGGCCGGGCTCTGAGGTCTGCAAATGGCCAAATCCTGGACACCTCTCAGGGGGCTGTGAGATGCCAGGCCTGGGAGTGCCCAGACAAGACAAGGGGTGGCTGCCAGGAGAGGGATAGGATGCTGAGATGAACCGGAAGTTGCTGGGAAGTGTTTGGCTAACCCTCTCCTGACGGTCCTAGCAGCTGACCCGTGTCTACTCTCTGCCCTACAACCAGAGGAGGTGATGAGGGCCAGGGGAAGGGCAGTGAGTGGGAGGAGGGCCTGGTGAACCTGGGACCCCCAAAGGCCTTGGCCTACATAGGCCCACAAAGGTGGTCGGCAAACACGAGCCAGGGCCCAGCCCACGGAGGGTAGTGGGCCCATGGGTGGTGGTGGGTACAACCAACCTGGCCAGAGGGCGTGGGTGCCTTCACAGGGCTCGCCACGGGTGGAAGGGGGTCGAAGTCTAGGTCCAGCAGACTGGCCTGCTCTGAGAAAGGCCCCGGGGCCTCAAACTTGGCAGCAGCAGCAGTGGAGGAGGAAGGTGGTTAGTGACAGGCTGGGAGCCCTTGCCGCAGGTGCACACGGATGCACATCCCAGGCCCAGCCCATCTACTGCACGCACACACAAAGCAGCACCGCCATGGCCACACACCCTGGCACAAGCTCCCATCCTCACGAGGACAACACCTGGTATCCGCCGCAGACACCCGGCAACATGCCACTCTGGGCAGCCACCCTGTGGGACCAATGCCATGTCCCAGGTCCTTCCTGTCTCTGCCCCAGGCTGGTGTGGCCTCCCATGCCTGCACCTCTTTGCTCCCTGTCCTCATGAGCTCCGCTGGCCTGGCCCTTCTTGCCAAGAGCAGCACCAGGCCACAGCCCAGGCTAGACATGACCACCCTCGGTCCCCACAACCAGGAGGGCCCAAAGTTGAAAGCTCTATGCTGGCCCTCCCTCTGCATACGAGATAGACTGGTCACCCTCTGGCAATACCTGCCCACCAGCCAGTTCCAGGGATCAAGGATATGGCTGAGCCAGCCCATGCAGCCTAGAAGGCCAGTCTTTAAAGTGGTGGTTCTCAACATTAGGGGGCTTCAGAACTACCTGGGGCACCTGCGTTAAAACTGCAGGCTCCCCACCCCCACAGCCACCTCCAGAGCTTCCCTCTCAGTGAGCCTGGGTGCAGCCCAGGACTGTCATGTAACAGGCATAACTACCTGGGGCACCTGCGTTAAAACTGCAGGCTCCCCACCCCCACAGCCACCTCCAGAGCCTCCCTCTCAGTGAGCCTGGGTGCAGCCCAGGACTGTCATGTAACAGGCACGGCCCCACTGTGAGAAGCCCCACTGGAAGCTGGCCCAGACCACCATGGGAGGAAAGGGGATTTCCCAGAGCCCCCCAAAGCAAGGATCCTGGATGGGGCAGGAATAAAGGCTCTGATGGGCCCCCTAAACCTGGGGAGGGTAGGCCGGGGCAGCACCAGTGCCCAGAAGACACGCTGCCTTCCATGGAGGGCTTGCTTAGCTGCAGCCTCCATGTTATACCTGGGGCCTCCCTTTGGGGACAAGGAAGGACTTCACCCAGGTCCAAGAGAAGAGGGATGTGGTTGGTGTCCTCTCCCTCCCCAGCCCTCCCCAATCCCCCTCCTGAGGGTCCCCAGCCCCCAACAGCCTAGCCCACAGCTTCCTGCCTCCGCTCCCCTTTGATGGGTGCCTGGCACCCACAGGGGTCGCCCTCCAGGGCCTCTACCCAACCCACGGCCTCCATCAAGAAGGACCCAAGACCCAGGGGTGTGGGCAGGGGATCCCCTGAGGGGCCTCCACAGCTGAGTTGTCAGCAAAGAGCAAGGTCCTCAGTCCTGAGAACACTCGGGGCCAGCTGCCCACAGCTCAGGGCACCAGGCATCAGGCCAAGCAGCAGAGTCAGAGAGCCCGGGCCAAGTGGACTCACTTCCTGGAGCCAGGGAGCCCCAGGCCTCAAGCCCCTGCCCAGGTCTACCCTCAGCAACAGACTTCCCTTCAGATCTGGCCCTGTCCCATGTGCCCAAGGTGGAGAGGTCACCACTCTGCCCTGTAACCC